CGCCAAACGCCGTTTTGAAAACGTTTTCATTTTTTTTCTCAAAAAACGTAAATAACAAAAAAAAGATCAATTCTAAACACGGCCTATATAAAGGTTTTGCTTACAGTTGTTATGATTTTATTATTATTTTTATATAGAAGTGATTTTAAGGTCTTTTATATGACTTTGCAAGGTATAATAAGAATGAGGTAATTGTGACACAATCTTTACGTAAAATATCAGATATAATATGATATGACCTCTTAATGTTAAGTCCCTGTGTGTTTGTCAATAACATATAACGACCTCTTATTCTTAAGTTCAATGGAAATAAATTAAAATGAGACCTCAAAAAATAACTATTTCAAACATAAGATTATATTTGTGTCAAATACTATTTAGCCTGCATGACTTTTTATAGAAAAAATAAGATTCCATCTCTTTCCAAAATAATTTTATTTTTTGTATAAAAATGAAAATAAAAACGTTTTCAATCTCAGTCAAAAATAATTTTTAAAAATGTGTTTGGTAATTTTATCAAATATTGTTTTCAGTATAAAAAACTCATTAATATCTCTCTCTGCTTGAGAGAAGAGAAAACGAAAACAAAAAATGAAAAACGACTAAAAGTCATTTTTCATTTCTCTCTCATTTTACACTAAACCAAAAAATCGTTTTTATTTCTGTTTTTTGTCTTTATTGCGCCAAACGCCGTTTTAAAAACGTTTTCATTTTTTTCTCAAAAAATGTAAATAACAAAAAAAAGATCAATTCTAAACACGGCCTATATAAAAGTTTTGCTTACCGCTGTTATGATTTTATTATTATTTGTATATAGAAAGGTCTTTTATATGACTTTGCAAGGTATAATAAGAATGAGGTAATTGTGACACAATCTTTACGTAAAATATTAGATATAATATGACACGACCTCTTAATGTTAAGTCCTTGTGTGTTTATCAATAACATGACTACCTCTAAGTTCAATGGAAATAAATTAAAATGAGACCTCAAAAAATAACTATTTCAAGTATAATATTATATTTGTGTCAGAACTATTTAGCTTATATGATTTTTTCTATTATTTTGATATGATTTTGATCAGATATCACGATAAAAAATATGTACCATCAATAAAAGATTCCACTAGAAGGACCCAATTAAAAAAGAAAATAAGGGAACAAAAAAGTTGTTAGCATGGTATTTTGTGGGCCTATTGGGGATGATGATTGGGGCCAAAAAGATTGAATGTGCATGTCCATGCCCATCACAGTGTGACACTTGAATATAACCAAAAACATATAAGCATTCAATTAAAAAAGTGGCATGGTTTGGACCATAATTTAGAAGAAAAAAAAAAAAAACCTTTGTACTCATGCAACGGCTAGGATCCAAAGTGATATATGCATTGCATTGCATCATCACATCGTTATGCTGACGTCACGCCAGACAAAAGCCAAATCCCCTGATCTCAAGCAAAGTTCATGTGGGTCTTATTAGAGCACTTTGACCATCAAAATTAATACAAAAAAAAAAAAAGAAGAAAGTTTCTTACAATTGCAAACTTCTCTCCTTTGCAAACGTGTATATATAGCTTCAAATATCATGCCTTTGTTTTCTCACATCTAGCAAAACAATTTTTGCTTTTCTTTCCTTTCCGTTCTGTATTCAATAGTTCAACTAAAACAAAAACAAAAAACAAAAACAAAAACAAAACAAAAGAAAATGCCTGAGAGAGAGAATTCTGGGTTTGTAAGTGAGCCTCGTAATGTTGTGAGGAAATTCTTGGCTAGGCCACAACATGAAGGTTTAGGAGCCATTGTTAGAAGAAGCATAGGAAGGTAAGTAAAATACCCAATATATATATATATATATATATATATGTTTATATGGTATTGTTTTGAATAGAATGAATAAGTGGTTGAGGAATTTGAGAAGTTCGGATTAATGGGTTGGCTGGTTTTTTCCAGGTTTGAGCTCAAATACTTTGATCCATTTCTTGCTCTTGATGAATTCTCAGGTGGGTGTTTCTGTTTTCCTCTGTTTCTTCACACACACACACACACACACATACGTAGATATATATATATATATATATTTATATATGTACATATATTACAAATCCCGTAGAGTTTTTTCTGGTTTCTGAGATTGAGTTTTTTGTTTTTCTGCATTGCAGTTACTGCTCCTGCTGGGTTTCCCGATCATCCACACAGAGGTCTTGATCAATGATCACTAAATCATCTATTCCTTAATTACCTTATTTTGTTCTATGCGAGTTAACTTTGATCATGAAAAAAATATTGGCTCAATTCTAAACTCTCATCATTTTTGTCAACAGGTTTTGAAACAGTGACCTATATGTTGCAGGTATAAACCTATGACATAACTTGCAATCTACCTAATCATGATTATAAAATTCAAAGGAGAAGTTACAGTACATCTTGTTTTTTATCATGCTGCCCTCTTTCCGCCATTGGATGATGGAAAGAAACAATCATAGCCGTTGAATTATTTCTAACTTCTAGTTGACAATTTTTTTCCCCCCCATCATCCACTGGCCGAAATTTCAGTTGTATGGTTCCAAAATACATTCTCACTTAAAATTTCAATTATTTCTGTCATTTTTTGCATAATTCATTTCCGTCTTAATTGGAATCAAATGTTTAATTACAATATGGCACCACAAAATGGTCAGCAAAACAGACTAAAATTAGGCTAGAAAATGGTCCATGAATGAAAAGTCAATACAATAATATATCTAAAAGTCTTGTTTGTAGAGCCATATAATTGATAAGCTTTGTTAAAAATAACCAAACTAAATACAATGGCATGATTCAATAGGGTTCAGTGACACATGAGGATTTTGAAGGGCACAAAGGGACAATACATGCTGGTGATCTGCAGTGGATGACTGCAGGAAAAGGGATTGTTCACTCAGAAATGCCTGCTGCCCAAGGAACCCAAAAGGGTCTTCAGTTGTGGATAAATTTGTCCTCAAAACACAAAATGTAAGCGTGTATATATATATATATATATTTTTTTTTTTTTTTGCTCCGAATATAAGCATATATATCACTATTATCCTTCACTATTTTGGAGCATAAATTCAAAGAGAACATGACATAAACCTGATGTAACCAGATATCATGACATTTCTAAAATTAGTTCCAAAGAAAATGGCTTCCTAACAATGACATTGTTCTTTGCGGGTTTATATATATCGTCCACATATATATATATATATATATATATATATATATGCTATAGTCCTATATTCTTTAGTGATTTATCATGATAGGGATCTTTTTTTCCAAAGGTGCTTTGATTGCTACACGTTTCTTTTTTTTTTTTTTTTTTTTTTTTATATGTGCATAAACTATGTGCCTTTTTACCCCTATACCATGGTAGGAAAGAATCTTCTATAATGGCATTCATCACATAGTGCTATTGCCTCCAACTTCAAAAATTTTTAGTCTCTCAAATAAATTTTGTTACATAGTTGACTTATGACTATCATAGTGGGAAGTACCTTTTCTTTTTTCTTTGAAATGAAAATTTTGAACCACAAACTTTTTTCTTTCCAATAAAACGGTAAATTCTTACATGGGGTTTTTTTTTTTTTTTTTTTTTTTTTTTTTTTTTAACACACATGTAGGATTGAACCAAGGTACCAAGAAATGCTAAGCAAGGACATAGCAGAAGTATCAAAAGATGGTATTAAGGTTAGAGTTATAGCTGGCGAGGCCTTGGGAACCAAGTCACCAATCTACACAAGAACACCAACCATGTACTTAGACTTCACTCTTAAGCCTGGATCCCACCTTCAACAACCAATACCAATTTCATGGAACGCCTTTGTGTATGTCATAGAAGGCGAGGGAGTCTTTGGCACGTCAAAGTCTTTGCCCGTCGCGGCCCACCACCTTCTCCTCTTGGGGTCCGGGGACGGCTTGGAGGCGTGGAACAAGTCCTCCAAGCCCCTCAGGTTCATCTTGGTAGGAGGCGAGCCATTAGGCGAACCGTTGGCGCAATGGGGCCCCTTTGTGATGAACACGCAGGAGGAGATCAATCAGACGCTAGAAGATTTTGATAACTACGCGAATGGATTCGAGAAAGCGAGGCATTGGAGATCGGAGGCTGCAGTTAGGCTCGGGTTTTCGCCCTTGTAATGGCATATTTGAGAAACTTTTCTTTTTTCGTTTCCGGAAGGAGGGGAAAAGAATTTTTTCTTGATCAATCAGATTTTGTAGATTATAAACATATTACTATATAATTTTTATTTTATTTGTTTTATTTTTCCTTTCTTGTGAAGTTTGGATCTTGTAAGATTGTGACAAACTATCAAGATTATCACAAAATTGTCCAATCAAGGTTATAATGAAATTCACTTAATGAGATTGGAACCTATTCCATTACTATTATCCCCCCAAAGGAATGAGAATAATACACAAAAATAGGATTGATAAAGTAAATGGGTTATTAGCACGGTTAGTCTTTCACCATGTGTATTCTATCACTTTGGTCCTTTAACTTTAAATTTTAACAAATTACTTTCTTAATTTTTTATTTTTGATCACTTTAGCCCATGCACACTAAAATTGACGATTGGATTTTTGAAACTTCATAAAGATCATCACATCCTAAACGCATAATAAGTGAAGTTTTTACATAAATAGTTACATTAAATACTAAATATTCTCTTTACTATTTTACAAACCATTAAAAACTAATTAATTGTGCATTTACTATTACTACATCTGTAAAAAGCTCAGACGTTATTATCTATGAGAAATTTCAGAAGTCATTTATAAATGTTAAATTGCGTAGGGGCTAAAGTGGTAAAAAATCAAAAGTTCAAAAGTCATTTACCAAATCTATAAATGTTTGTTTTAAGGGTTCATCCCTAATTTTGAATTATGGTTCTTAATTTTCTACAGTGTTTTTCTCTCATAAAAAATTTGAATTTCAAAAATCAGAATCATGAATCATGGTTCTGAACATATAAACCAAACGTCCCATAAAAGTTTAAGAATCAAACTGATACCATGCACAATATAAGGACTAATATTGCTAATTACTCTAAAGTAAATGGTCCATTTTCCTTCGGGAACAAGTCTTTCTTTTCGTCCGTTTACAAAGTAACAAAATATAAATAAAGTCTAGGTGTATATATAAAAGATGGAGTAGTTGACAAAATAATACAGCAAACAAAAGAAAATCCAAGCCAATTGCCAAGTCCATTATAGTTTTCAAACCTCTTTTAAATATTAAATTAAGTATTGCTTAGAAGAATAATGCTTTCTGCCATTCTGTTTTATTCTTGAAAGCCTCGTCAAGGCAAGGAATCTGGGAAACAAGCTCAAAACTTCATTAAACCAAAAGGGATGGGAAAAAATAAAGGAAAAAACTAAACGTGAATTCTAGATCAATCGGTTCCTTATGTTACATTAGAAGATTAAGGGTGTATTAGAAAAGTAAACACAATTATTTTGATTAGTACTTTTGATTTTATTTGCATTTATTTTATATCAGAAAATCGTTTCATTTTTTTTAGTAACTCACCAGATTTTATATTTTAATTTGTGTTTATATGAAGCGGGATTGATAGTGCTATTATTAGTAAATTTCCCTCTTCTTCTAATCCTGAATGTAGACATATTTTCTAACTACGTATGATCTCTATTTTTTCTTCTTTATTTTACTTTCTTCTTTAATTTTTAGGGTGAATAGTTAAAACAATTATTTTTATAGAAAATTCTCTAATATGCTTGGTACGTCATGTTATTTTAACCGTTAGATCTACATATTTTTTATGTGATTTTATGCAGATCTGACAGACAAAAAACTTAACCTACTGATATGTTGACGTGCTAAAAAAATTCTTATTTTTATTAATAGTTTTGATTTTATTCGTATTTATATTAAGAAATCTTCTAATTTTTATTTTAGATAACTTACCCGATTTCTAATCAATGAATGTCGACACATTGTTTAACCACTTCAATCTCTATTTTCTCTTCTTTATTTTATTTTCTTCTTTAGTTTTTAAGTTTGTTTTTCGGTAGGTCTCTTACTTAATGCACATTTTTAACCGTTAAAATCTAATCAAAACCATATTAAAATAAAAAAAATATGAAGCATAAATAGTTTTTAATATAAATGATGAAAATGAGATACTTATCACTATTTTTTTTTACCAAAAAAATATCTTAATTTTTAATCAAACTTATCAAAAACAAGAAAAAAATAATCATCAAACCTAATCTAATAGAAATATAAAAATTAGGATAGTTTTTAAATTCTATTCTTTTTATTAAGTCCTATTGTTATATATATATATTTATTTATTTAATAGAGATATAAAAATTACGATATTTTTTGAATTCTAAAATCTTTATCAATCCTATGGTTTAATTATTTATTTCGACGAGAACTTTAATAGATTTAAAGTTTAAAAACATGCATTATTTATAGGGCTGTTCATAAACCCGAACAACCCGTAAATTCAACCCACCCCGCCCCAACCCAAGCCGAAAAAAGCAACCCGCAACATTATTTTTAAATTTGCGGCTCATTATACTTCTGGCCCGAAGTGTTTGGGGCGAATTGCGGGTTGGACCCATAACAACCCGCAATCCCCAACCCAACCCGCACAACATACCCCTAAGCTTTTGGCCCAAGCCGAACTGCCTAAGTTCTACCCTAGGCTCACTAACATTAGGGTTCACAATCTCATTCTCGGTCTCCCCTCCCGTGAACCCCCTCTTCTTGCCTCTTCCTTTTCAGTTTTCGCTCTTCTTCCCCTCCCGTGGACCCCCTCATAACTCTCTCCTCATTGCTCAGTCCTCTCGGCCGCCGTCTTGCCCACTTTCTCCGATGCTCTCTCGCCGGACTGATAAGGATGGTTACTATTTCTATTTAATGATGAAGTTTGAATATTATATTGAACTTTAAGTTTTTGATTTTTTGAATGTTGAACCCGACCACCCAACCCACCCCGCACCGCCCCAACCCAATCCGAAAAACGTTGGGTTGTGAAATTTTTTTAACATCGTTGGGGCCAAATATATGCAATCTGCACCCTTTGAGGCGGGAAAAAAAAATCTTACTCCGCACTAACCCAACCCATGAACAGCCCTAATTATTTATACTTGCTCGAAATATATATAAAGAAAAGGAAAAAGCTAAAAGCCTAAAAATGACCAACTGAAAAAAAAAAAAAAAACTCAAAAAACTCAAAAACGTTTAAAACCAAACTGAACTGAGGAGAATTTTCCTATTTGTCAAGCCATGATTGGTCCTCCTAAGCTTAAAAAAATAAAAATAAATATGAATAAAGAGTACTTATTCTACTACAACTACGATTGTAGTCATAGCTATAGCCTATAGCCAGCCTAAAAAGGGGATAATGAAAGATGTAACAAGAAAGAGAGAGAACTCAAAAAAGGAGGGGGGGAAACGAAAACAGAGGAAAACAGAGAAGGAGAGAGAAACGGAGAAGAAGAGTCTTCTTAGACCGCCATGAACGGAAGAAACTTGAGGCTGCTCAAGATCATTCTCTTCCTCTTCTTCCTCAACTCTTTCTCTCTCCTCTTCTACTTCTTTTCTCACTCTAAAACTCTCCACGCAAACAATGATAACAATAACAACAACCCAAATCAGCATATTTCCTTAACTTTGAATAACCAAACTCAAACGAAGCAATTCAAGTTCACATACTCAAAGCCATGGCCGATTCTTCCCTCGTACCTCCCATGGTTGGAGACCCAAAACCCACCTCGGCTCCGCTCCTGCGAGGCCTACTTCGGCAACGGATTCACCCGCAGAGTCGATCTGTGGGCCCCAAGGGGGCCGAGATCGGGGTGGTTCAGGTGCTGGTTCAGTGGGACCCTCAGGAGCTCGGTCTGCGAGGGTGGGGCCCTCAGGATGGTGCCGGAGAAGGTGAGGGTGTCGAGGGGAGGGGAGAGGCTGGAGGAGGTGATGGGGAGATCGGAGGGGGAAGAGCTGCCGGAGTTTGAAGATGGGGCGTTTGAGATCAACGGTGGTGATGAGGAGAGAGAAGAAAAGAAGAAGCTTGTGAGTGAAGAGGTTTTGAATGAGATTGTGCCTAGAGGGGATGTTTGGAAGCATACAATGAGGGGTTTGGTTGGTTCTGCTTTGGTTGTTCCAGCTAGAGATTTTGAGTGCCAAGAGGTTGGTTATTTATTTATTTATTTATGATATTGTTGGGTTTATGGTGAATTCTGTTTTCTATTCTAGAGTGGTGATTGGTTGCTTGGTTTGAGTTGAATTCTTCAGTTAGAGGTTAACACTTTCCTTATTTGATGGTTTGTGTCTTTTCTTTGGTGGTGAATGGTTCCTGGGCTTGTGTTGAATTATGCAATTTAAGTTTAGAACTATTCTTATTTGATGTCTTGTAATTTTTCTTTTGTGGTGATTGGTTTGCTGGTTCTATGTTGAATCTTGCAATTAAAGTTCAAAATTTTACCATTCTAAAGTGGTGATTGTTTTCTGGGTTTGTGTTGAATTCTGCAATTAAAGTTCCAAACTTTCCTATTTTCTGGGTTTGTGCTGAATTCTGGAATTAAAGTTCAGAACTTAATGGTTTGTGTTTGTTGTTCGGCGGTGAATTGTTTCTCTGGGTTTGTGATGAATTCTCGTTTTCAAGTTGAAAACTTCAATAATTTAAAGGTTTGCCTTTGCCGTTGGTAGGTGATTGTGATCTTAAAGTTTGAAAATTTTCCGAGTTTAGAGCCATGTATGTGGAATTTTTGTTCATTTGTTTGATTGATTCTCTGAGATATTGTATTTAGAGAGATGAAACTTTCAGTTCCTCATTGAATAGAATTGGATTCAATATAAGCTTAAAGTTCAAAACTTTCCTGATTTAGAGCCTTTTCTATGTGAAATCCTTGGGGGTTTTTGGTGATCTGGAATCAAATAGCTGGTGAATTAAATGAAAGAATATTGAGTATTTAAGTTCCCGATTAACTGGAATTTACTTTTATGCCATAAATGAATGTTATTATTTGCTAAATGCTGGGATTTTATTCATTGGAAAAATCTTAACCATATATGGAAGTTTTTTAAGTGAGAAACTTGAAATTGTGCAGCCTTTCAAAAAAAGAAAAAAAAAAAAGAAGAAATTGTGCTTATAGAGCATGAATTCTACTTTTTGTGGTTTCCATGGCTATTGTTTCTTATTGCACTGCTTTCTGAGGTTCTAATACGGAAGATTCTATGTGCAGTGGATTGAGGAGCCAACGCTTCTGGTTACGCGCTTTGAATACGCAAATCTTTTCCACACTGTCACAGATTGGTATAGTTCATATGTAGCTTCAAGAGTCACTGGCTTGCCTAATCGGCCTCATTTGGTTTTTGTGGACGGGCACTGCGCGGTATGTTTGCATAATCCTATGTTTTCTCATATATGGATTTTTCATTTGTTGATCAACAAAAATAAATATTTGAATAGCATCGGCTAATATCTAGAACCCAAGGGTCTGAATCTAGTTGTCCCGTAATTTGTTGTAGAGTGACCCGATGAAAGAACAAAAACGAAAATGTTACATTTTTGAGGTTGTTAAGACTTTAGCAACACGAACAAATGTGGATTTTGAGCTAGTCTTGTAGAAATGCTAGTGAGTAGAAAATGAGGGCCTCGTTCTTTTTGCTTGTTCGAGTTGAGAACTTGAGTTAAAAAGTGAATTCATGTGACTACAGAAAACGTTGAATTTGAATTTTGTGAGAGAGAACGTTGTAGCAAAAACTGAAGTTGTGATTTGAACTTGTGAAATGAATGGAGCCTATATCTTGATACAACTTCAATTCAGTGTTTCATGTATGAATGGCGATCTTCGCCTTAACTTTTCCATGGAGAAACTTTCAAAAAATTTATCATTTGTTTCCTTTCAAAAACCCGACAACCCTTATTCGATGCTCGTAAACGTGCATTCAATTGATTAGAGTAAGATGATTTGGTTTGGGTTTGGAATGAACAGATGAATTTCATCAATTGATTCAATTCATTGGTAAAGTAGTAGATTTTCTTCGTCCTCAATCGGTCTTTTATTTTTCTTTCTATCTGTAAGGAAGGGTTTATTTGTTTGACTTTTTTAGTTATGCTTGCTTTGCAACAATTTGACAAGAGGTCTCAGTTCATCGTCTAATATTGCTGGTCTGATCTTTCTCTGGTGTTAAATTTGTTCAGGCATCCTTGGAAGAAACATGGCAAGCATTGTTTTCTAGCCTCAGATACGCCAAGAACTTTACTGGTCCTGTTTGTTTTCGTCACGTGGTTCTCGCACCTTTGGGATACGAAACTGCTTTATTCAAGGGGCTGAGTGAAGCAATAAACTGTCAAGGTACATCTGCACCAGATCTGTGGCAAAACCCCGACGACAGAAAAACCGCTCGGTTATCTGAGTTCGGTGAAATGATCAGAGCTGCTTTTCGCTTTCCAGTAAATAGACAAAGGATTGAAAGGCCGTTAACAGGTTACAATGTCCTTTTTGTTCGACGTGAAGACTACTTAGCCCATCCCCGTCATGGTGGTAAAATTGAGTCGAGGCTTAGCAACGAGGAAGAAGTGTTTAATTCATTAAAGGGTTGGGCAGCAATTCACACAGATTGCAAAATAAACCTTGTGAATGGATTGTTTGCTCACATGTCCATGAAGGAACAAGTGAGGGCTATTCAAGACGCTCACGTCATTATTGGCGCACACGGCGCTGGTCTTACACACATAGTCTCTGCATTACCGAAAACAGTGGTTTTGGAGATCATTAGCAGCCTATTCCGACGGCCACATTTTCAGTTGATCGCGCAGTGGAAAGGGTTGGAGTATCACGCCATTAATCTCGATGGATCTGTTGCCAATCCTCAGGTTGTTATCCAAGAGCTTAGCAGCATTATGAGAGGCCTTGGATGCTGATAAATCATTTTGTTTTGGCTAAATCTCACACTTACTGATTTCTGGGAGCCGATTTTTCTTGAAAGAAGAAGAGATTTCTTCGATCGGGATTCTGGTTTCTAACAGTTGGTGCAGAAACTGGCAACTTAGGAGGAGGATTTTAAGCAATGCTGATAATGGTGGCCTTGATTGTTAATTATATGGGCATTTTGGGGAAAGTTTGGTGAATAACCAGAATTGAGTGGTATCATCAGTAAGATAGAGAATTTATATTTCCAATTTTCCATGTTGTGTATTTTTTTAATTTCCAACATTCTTTTTTCATTTTTTTTTTCTTTTTCTTCTTACCAAGTACAGGTTGATAACAGATAGAGGCTCCAATACCAATTTTTTGGTTTCAACACATTTCTCTTGTTGTAACATCAGATTATATATTATGGCACAGATCAGACTTTAAGCATAATGTTTCGGAATACAAATAATATGTTTATTTTCTTGTTATATATATTTTTTGTATTAATCTTATAATATCGTTTTCTATTGATTTTTTTTCCATTAATCTTATAAGGCTGAACAAAGTAGAATTTTTTTATTTAGTGGAGAATATTATAGCATGGTCTGATAAAATATCATGGAGTAGAAAATCATATTTTACCAATTGCAGTTCAATTAAATTACATCTTACTAATATAGTTTTTTTTTTTCCAAATCTTATCACATAATTGTTTATATATATACACATATATTCATATTATAGTGGCTTTCCTTTCTCCTCACCCCAAAAAAAAAAAAAATCTGGTTTAAAATTCTAAAAACAACGTAAACCAGATACATCTTGCTTTTTTTTTCTTTTTTTTTTTTTTGGAAAAAAAGGAAAAGAGAAAAAAAAAAGTGTTTTCAAGTTATCTAATGGAAATTTTATTTTTTCGAATTCCAAACCATACTCATTATTTTCTCTTCCAGACATCTATCAATGTAAATTAAATTCAGTTCAAATTGAGAATTGTGATTTAAATTATAAGACAAATCTGATTGTACTCGGTGCAACTTTTCCTTGGGCAATTCAAATGATGTTCACACTTTACGGAAGAATTATTGAGAAAGTGGGCTAAACTAATAAGAAGAATTCTTTAATTGGTAGAATACGAAAAAAAAAAAAAAAAATCTACCAATAGACGTTGTTCTAAATTGTTAGGTTTTCGTTAAAATCTATCAAGCTATTTTGATGTAATTTCACGGTTTAAATGTATATATGTATGTATGTGTGCATGCATCCATACATATATATGTGTATATATACATACGAACGTCGTTTTAATAATTATTTTAATATTTATCCATTAATATATTATTATCGTAAGATATTGATTAAATTGAATAATTAATAAAAAAATTCATGTATAATAACATATAAAATTATTCTGAATTTTCATTCACTGTGTATATACATTATAGAGATAACAGAAGGGGAAAAAAAAAAAAAAACAAAGAAAGAAAGAATGAAAAATTCTTCATCGAATCAAAATTCAATGGAAAATTAACAAAAGTACGACCAAGAAAGTGTATGCGGAAGAAGCCCTAGATTTGACAGAATTTGCAAAACCCTAAAACTGGAAAGGACATACCTGTTCAAGGATATGATTTTATTTTATTTTATTTTTATTTTTCGGTAGGAAGGATATGAGACTTGAGAGACGCGGAGAAAAAAAAGCTAATCCGACGCTTTTGATTGATGTGCTTTTGCTTTGTTTCGTTAGGTATAATTATAATGCCGAAGGAAAAAAAAATCCTGCGTAATCAAAGCGATGGGTACTAATTTATTCGACAATCATACTCTAAGAAGGATTTTATATACGATTATTTTCAAACAAAATAAAACAATCCTGATAAATTTTTTTTTTTTTTCAAAAGATCATAAATATTATTATTATCATATTTTTTTTTTTTGTTTTTGAAAGAGAATCTTCTATAAATATCTCTTATTTTACAAGATTTCATTTTTTTTTTCCTTTCTTCTCCTTTTTTATTGGGGTCCGAAATTTAAACTCTAGACAATGACATCGACATTAAAGGAAGGATATGGAATATACCATTTGCAACCATGTCTTTTTGCTTTTCAAAAAGAAAAAGAAAAAAGAATCTTTGGCCTACCAAATTAGACACACACACACGAATTTGCCCTCTTTATTGTAAGTTTTAGACCCCGTTTATTTTATCGATTTAAATTTTGTTACAGTAAAAAGTTTTAAAAAATAATCACATCTAACTTTTTTGTTACAGTAAAAAGCTCTCACATAAAGTCACATTTAATCTCGAATTAAAAACTCAAATCAACGAACTAAACGGGTTAGAACATCTGAATACAATGTTATAATTGATCTGCTCATGACAAATTTTATTGTAAGTGTAAAAAACACTCTCCAATAGTCCAATACAATGTCATTTATTGTGCATGCCAAATTTGTTATATGTTATATTTTATGATAAATTTATCATTAAGTATAAATTTAAATTTAAATAAAGTTGGAACTCGAATTGTCTTTTTTGAGTTTTTTAGACAAAAAATATGCCATAATTTTAATTAATTATACATTTATTTATGTTGAAGTAATTTATGGTTTGATTTTATCTATTTGTGCACCGTTTTGCACCAAATTTTTAATACTCTTCAAATAAAAAACTATAAATAATTTAAATAAAATATTAAACGAAAATATGCTAAAATAAAATAAAGTAGCACCAAATTAAATAAAAGCTAATTAAACAAAACAAGAAATAGCATCAAAATTTATGTCTTTTTTTCTCCTTTCTCTTTTTTTTTAAAAACAAAGTTATAATTGATCTGCTCATGACAAATTTTATTGTAAGTGTAAAAAACACTCTCCAATAGTCCAATACAATGTCATTTATTGTGCATGTCAAATTTGTTATATGTTATATTTTATGATAAATTTATCATTAAGTATAGTATATGATAAATTTAGCATTTAATTGCTATTGGTTGATAAGTTTACCTTTTCTTTTAATACTTTTAACTTTTTCTTTTAATAGAGTTTTGGGGGATCTGCTTGTGATGAAGAGATAGAAACATCAAGAGTTTCAAAGCACCAATCTTTTCCATTTTATCGCAACCGGTAGTACCGGTTTTTTAGGATACATTGCATAGCAGGGAAGATGAATCAAGACCGGGACGTGATAGTAAGAAAGAAGCCAGAGAGAAATTTGACCTTTTTAATTTTTGTGGTGGATTTTCTTTGTAAAAAGCGGTTGTTCCGTAGTGATTTTACAAATAAAAATTTTTTAAAAACTGTTTTACTAATAAAATTTTCCTATTAAGTCATTTTTACAAAGAATTCGAAGTCAGATTGGTAAATCCTTGCATTAACATTGGTTTTCATGGCCAATCCACTTGTCTCGAGTGGGTTTTTTCAGTTTCTTGTTGGGGTTTTTCTTCCTTTTTTTTTTTTTTTTTTATTTGGGTAGTTGTTTGTGTAAAACAAAGGCAATATTGTTTTAACCATGTAGGTGTTACGATTTGTTTTTTAGATTTTTTTTATTGTTCCATATTTGTAGTTGTGGTCTCCACACTCTCTCGTTTTGGTTGTGTGACTAACTTGCTAGAGTTGGTTTTTTACGGTGTTACAAGTGACATCCGTCTCAATAGATTCAAGTTATCGCCATATTATAGAGGTATTGTTGAAAAATTCGTTTTTATGCTTCCTAAGTTGTTGTGCACTTTCGGTTTCCCGTTGTTGAAGTTTGGTGCACATTTACCCTTTTGTGTGTTTAATTATAAGTTACTCGGGAATCATTTTTGTCGTTGAGGTTAAGTCTCTATTTTGTTATGAGGCTCATTCATTATAAACATTTTCACCTTGTTACACATTTACTTTTAAAATAATAACAAAAATAATAATATTAGTAATAAATAATAATAATAATAATAGTAATAAATAATAATAATAATAATGATAATAATAATGATGATGATGATGATGATGATAGATGCTATATAGAACGATACAGTTTTATCTAGGGGAAGAACGCTATCAGTCAATCACAAACATAAGACTGTAAAACGACGTCGTCTCAAGCAGGAGAAAATTTCCAATTACCAAATGATGTGCCACGTGTCAAGCAACAACAGAGCGAAAGAAGAAAAGCTCAGTAGGTCCGGCACATCTGATCCGCAACAGCTCCCAAAGTGGCCGACATCAGTTCCACGTTTCAAGTTCTCATTGGCGACAAGGAAAGACAGTGGGGCCCACACTTTGCCACGCTGACGCACTTGTCCCTTCGGCGCGCGTGATATAATCCGTTTTTTTTATTATTTTAATTATTATTATTCATTATATTTGTTTATTTATTTTGAAATGATTTTTTGGCTGATTTTGTCCATTTCAACACTGATTTGCACCAAATTTTCAGTGCAACTCAGATAAAAATAATATAAATAATTTGGATGAAAAAAATATTTAATGAAAATACACTAAAATAAAATGAATAACACCTTTTTAAATAAAAAGAAATTAAGTTAAAATAAATGTGTAATTTGAGTGTAGTTGTTGAGTTGAATTTGAGTTATAACTTGAGTTGAAGTTGTAACTTGAATAAAGTTGAGTAAAGTTGAATAAAGTTAGAACTTAAAAGAATATAAATTTAAATTTAAATAAAATTGAAACTCGAATTGTCTTTTTTGAATTTTTTAGACAAAAAAATATGCCATAATTTTAATTAATTATACATTTATTTATGTTGAAGTAATTTATGGTTTGATTTTATCTATTTGTGCACCGTTTTGCACCAAATTTTTAATACTCTTCAAATAAAAAACTATAAATAATTTAAATAAAAATATTAAACGAAAATATGCTAAAATAAAATAAAGTAGCACCAAAGTAAATAAAAGCTAATTAAACAAAACAAGAAATAGCATCAAAATTTATGTCTTTTTTTCTCCTTTCTCTTTTTTTTTTAAAAAACAAAAAAAAAACAATTAGTGTAAGTATATTTTAAATTGCGGGCGATCAAAACTGGTATAGCCGTATAGGCAATAGCACTATCAATTATGCCTGTAGAACGACGTGGTTGGCTCTGAAAACTATCTCCAAGAAATTATTAAAAAAAAAACCAATGCAAAAACCATACAGTGGATAAAGGATACAGATATTAGAACTAGGAAAAGAGTTTTACAGAAGGAAATGAGTTTTACAGAAGGTTTACCAGGTATTGAGTACATTAGAGGAATTTCGGTGAAATAATCTCTGGCCAGATTTTAGGGGTGTAACTCGGCCCTCAGATTAGAACTAAAATAGTAAAATCTACGCCGAGTCGCACACTGCAAGTTGAGAAAAGTTTAGGCTGCAACACCCCATTTGGCCACAAACCCTCAATCATGCATACAGTATGGGAAGTTATTAAAATTGTGGTAAATCATATTCGCCCGATATCG